TCAGGGACCGGGGTGTTTGTGCACACGTGTTAGCACACACACCAGTTCATATTTTCTTCCTCTGTGGGTGGAGAAATCGAGGGTCTCAGAGGATAACTGGTCCACGGGGACGTGGCAGAGGGTCAGTCACTGTAAAGACCTGCCTCTTTCTGCTGCATAAGGTGGCCTTGAAATCACAATGACACTTTTTTAAAGAACCCTCCTGAATCTATACCGCTCTGGGCAGACAACGCAAGGGGCGTGATGCCCCAGCACGCATCTGGCGGACACCCACCAGCTGCCCGGTCTTGCAGTGCAGCCTGCACTGTGTCCACGGGACCCACAGATTCTCTCCCAGAGGTGAGGACGCAGTCTGTGATGCCAAGTCCCACCGGAGCACCACCACGCAGCTTCTCAGCATAAGGGGCGTGCTGGCGGCTTCGGCCCACACAGCACGGTTCCTCGCCCGTGTGCACAGGACGGAGCAGGGCGCGGTTCTCTGGATCCACTCCGGGTGGTAGCGTGCAGTCAGAGGCCGCGTTTCCCCAGGACCCCGGACGTCTCCAGGACATGAAGTCACTCAGCCAAGACACACGAGGCACTGTCCAAAAGCACTGGTTTTAAGAACTGCAGCACGATTTTTAACGCTACCTGCAGCCTGCTTCTTCTGCCTTTTCACTTCAGGTGTCTTTGTGGGGATTTTAGTCTAGATTTCTAGAATATCCTTCTACTTTGATTTTGGTCACAGGCACAGACAGATGTGAAACCAAGAAGGACAGTGCGAACGGTGCAGAGACATTTATGTGCTTGTGAGTGCTTCGAAGGGATGAAACCATAATGTATAAAGACCCTCTATTTCTTACAAGGATCTTTTCCAAAATTATCTTTATTTGGCTACAACCAATACGTCAATAGGGAAACACAAATACCTTAGCATTAAAACTAGACCTTTTCCCTGTGGATCTTATGGCCCCTTGCTTTATGTAGGAGCAAAGTGGAAGGGATCACACTTCGCTGTCCCCAGGAGTGACCATGAGGCCCAGGGCCAGCCGACCGTCGTCGAGAGTCCTCAGGACACACTGGGCTATCCCCATGGGGCCATCCCCCAGCACAGGGCTCGTATCTTTATTCTGAAATAGGCAGCCTGGAAGCTTCACGGCAAAATGAACAGACACGTTTAAACCCTCACGGCTTCGGCAAGGACAGGGTGGCACAGACGATGTCAGGCTCAGCTGTTCCTCTGGAGCAACTTTGCCGCACCCGCCAGAGGCCAACACTCGAGCCACCACTGACCCGCGTGAGGCGGGAACGCTCTGCCTGTGGTAAGTGGGTCCCAGCAATGTGAGTCTCTCACTTCCCCTTCCAGACACGCAGCCATGAGCAGTTAATGCGCATTCCTGTGATTCTTGAGCACTGAAAGAGTGGTGGGTCTGCGGAGAGACCCGGAAGGTGGCCAACGAGCCCAGGATTCTCTGGGAGAAGATGGTGTCTTCATTTAGAAAAAAGCTCAGGGTGAGCCACCAGGCAGAGACCACTTTATTTCAAAGTCTGTAAACCAGAATATAAGCAAGGATTACAGACTATATGTTAGGGAAACCGAGAGTTTCTTCGTGTTACTGATGCACCTTTCAGCTGTATGGTATTTTTCACTGTAGGGGTGACGGACGTGAAATCACTCTGCCTGTCAATCAATGGTGTTTGAGGAAAGAGTGAGCCTCTCTCTGAGCTCACTGGTATCCGCTGCCCTGTCCTGGCTCCCTGCTCTTCCCCCAGCTAATTGGGAAATAGCAGATGAGACTTTGAGGATGTGAGAGTGGCCACCAGGCTGCAGTTGGCTGTGAGAGAAGCCAACTCAGTTCAAAGCAAGGCTGGCTGGTGGACTCGTGTCTCTGCAAGTATGACTGCTCTTTCCTCTGCTCAGAGTGGGAGCTGGCCAGTCCACTGCCTCACACACAGGAGCAGCAATGTCTACCAGCTCTGGTAGTGAAGGTCGAGGGACTCTGAAACCACCCCTCCCAGCCCGATAATGGTGCAGACTCAGCTAAGGCAGGTCTGTGCAGGGGTTGCGTGGGGACGTGCAGGGACACGCAGGGATGTGTGAGGACCATGGAGACATTAGGGAGCACAGGGATACACGGGGACATGTAGGGATATAGAGGGATGTGTGCGTAGCATAGGTACACGCGGGGACACACGGGGACGCACAGGGATGCGTGAGGAGCACGGCGACGCGCGGGGACGTGTTCAGACTCTGACCCCAGGGGAGGTGTACTGGAGGCCACTGAACATGAGCCCAGGGAATAGCAGCACTTAATTTGCCCGTTTCTTAATCTTCTTAAAGATTTTAGCGATTTTTCGACATTTTTAAAGAAACAATTACAAGTCCTTCACTGACTCCTCCCTGTGCCAATCAACTCTGGCATACTCCATAACCCTAACGCACAGAGAACAGATTTCTAGAAAGAGCACACGATAAACACCATCGGACGCTAACAGCTGGAGTGTCCATGTGTCTCAGTCCCTCACCTGGTGACTTACCTGTGGCACCGGCGCTGTCACACCGCGGCGCAACCCTAACACTTTCAGGTGGGAGGCCGCGGAGGCCGCGGAGAGAGGAGCCGCCCGGGACCCTGTGGCCGGGTCGTGGCTGGGCTGCACCCGGACAGCTGAATCCTGATCTCGGAAGAACGGGGTGCCGGCCCATCCACCAGCGCGGCCTCCAGCACTCTGTCCGAGGCCAGACTTCTACTCGGGATACTGTTTGGGGAGCGCCTCCTGCTAGGACAGCTGTGACACCTTCTAACAAAGGTCGTTCATGGTGCCATTTTTCCTCATCAGTTTAAACTGTTACGGACTTCTGATTTCTGGTTCAATCAAAATTAAACTTGCTCCTGATATGCTAAAGGTTTTTGATTTCCCAGCCCGTTAGACAGTCTGGCTAATTTTACACTATCAGCTAAAACTGTGAGAAAGCATCTCATTTACAAACAATCTCCCAGTGAGTACTTTTGGGAAGCCCAGCTTGTCGGTAACAGGGCGGAACTCACATGCGCCTCCTACAGTGGAGCACGTTCATGTGCCGCAGAGCAAAACCTCATGAGCGGACGGACGCAAAGATACCGAGAAACAAGTCAGATCCCGAGCTGGAAATACCCAGATGATGCCAACACTCCCTTCCCACGTTGTGAGAATGGTGGACGGCGGGTGACAATCAGAGAGGCCTTCCCTGCACCTCTCAGCCTGGGTGGGACCAGCTTCACGCGGCCATAACCATGGTGCCCATAACGGTGTGCGCGGCGCTGGGGCAGGTGGTGAGGCAGACTGACCCACCACCGAGGGCATGAGCGATGCAGGCCCCGCACCCACGTGCACACTGGAGCCCTGCAATGGGCCAACCACAGCTTGACAGCTCAGAAAACCAGGGTTTTTAAAAATTCAGGGTGTCGTGGTGCACTGGGCATGTCCACAGGCCCGGCTGCAAACACTGCACTCAAACCAGACAGCATGCACCCAACCCGCCCCAGAATAACACCTGGCCCAGATGCCGGCACATGAACATGTGGGTGAGAGCACATGGGCGTCCACTTACTTGGGCGACAGGGTCACTGCCCAGAGGGAGAGAGGGTTTCTGACTAGCAAATGTGGACCACCCTGAAGGGCCCATTCCTGCGCATGCAAGGAAACGAAGCTGGTCCCCAACAGGCTGGGTCCTGCCCTCCCTGCCCCGCGGACGTGAGCTGCAGTGGGCAGCCCCCCGCCTGGGCTGGCCCTGCAGGGCCCAGCTGTACCTCCGGATGGCCACGGTGAGAGCCTCTGGGGAGCTGGCGCAAGGACAGATGACCTCCTGACGCAGGCCTTTACTCTGGAAGACGTTGAGAAATGCGTCACAGGACGAGATGGACCCTGCAGGTGGAAGGGGTGACAGTCAGCCCGCGGAAGCATGGCGTCAACCGCGGCCACCCCACCACTCCCGCCTCTCAGGTGGGGCTGAGGCCGGCTGCGTGGAAACATGCTCCATTCAGTACCGCTAACTACTCACGTTACCGTGAGAGGTGATCCTCTCAGGCCAACAGAACTCAAGGATTACAAGTGTAACCTCTGTATTTAAATGTTTCTGTGGCCGATGAGCTTGTGAGCCTTCCCCTAGGCTTGCTCCGCCATGTTCCATATGCATGTCTCCGAGATGAGTATGTCTAAACTAAGCGAAGAAAACTCTCTCCTGTATCAGCGCACCTGGTGAGATCGGGGAGTCACCACCAGGCGCCCACCCGTGAGACCACTTCCTAACACAGGTCAGCCTGGTTTCAGCAGACAGTGGCTCAAACCAGATGCCTTAAAGCAGCTCGCAATTCACGGAGTTCTCTGGGAAATGCAAGAACCATGTATACTAAATCCTCTGATTGCAAGCCCCCATTTGCGTTATCAGATTTTCCCTGAGAAAAGTATGTGCTGCTTTAATTTACAAATGTACACGTGGCACTGTTTACAGATGGACAGAAACACACGTTCTCCTTCACTCACTCTGCTTCTGGCTCACTCACTCTCATCAAAAACAAGCTAGCTGTGTTTGTTTCAACCCAGGGTGGTATTTCTCAAGGTAGGTTAACGGCATTCTATGGGACTGCTAATTTGCTTTACCTGGGTGGTGTTTCCTATAGGATTTGATAACAAAATTCCATTAAAATGACAAATTACTTCCCTGATCAATAAAATTACTATAGACCATAAAATAATAATAGTTACTATTTCCTGAGCACAAAACATCCCAAGACAGAGGAACCACTTCATTTAATCCTCATAAAATCTTATGATTTAGGTACCATTTTGCAGCTAAAGAAAGAGAAGGATTAAAACCAGAAAGCTGGGATTTTTCTCTATGGAATCAGGATGTGGAAACACCAGGCCTCGAGCCCAGGGCGGTGGGCCTGCAGGCTCCTGGCTCCCCGCCACTGAGTGTGCTGCCTCGAGGCTTTGGTGAGTCACACTGGGAGGTCATTAACTTAAGGCAGCTTCCTAACCGAGGCAACAACTAGAAAAGGAAAAGCAAAGTGCAGAAACGGGACGTGGAGAACGAGGCTCTCTCTGGCTGCCGGCTGCACCTCCAGGCAGAGCAGGTGGGTCACTTACAGGGATTTGCACCGTCAGCCACGATCAGCATCCGGAGGGAAGAGAGGTTGATGTCTCTCTGATCTCTATGTGCAACTAGCGCCCAGTGCATGTCCCTGGATTTCACACAAGCCACTTTTGCTGTGGGAACAGTGGAGAGCAGAGCATTAATAAGCACACCATCAGACCGCGAGATATTAAAAGAGGGAACCACACACCTGAGGGCCCTGGAGACGTACCTTTGTACTGGCAGACCTTCTGAATCCAGGAGAGGGGGTTCACCTTCATCAGCGAGTATGGGATGCTGATCACGTGCATCATGTTCATGACACTCTGCAAGCAACACATGGGGGTGACTGCCAAATGCTAGCAGGAGAGGCACCACCCCCCGCCAGGCTGGACGTGAGGACACAAGGGGCTTGGGCCCATCACGAGCTTGCTCCCTGCTCCACACTGGGAACCAAGAGCAGTCTAGACGAAGCTCGTGTGCCCTCCTCCTAACAAATTTTGCCTGAGAAACCACAAATCCTGCTTTCTGTATTTATGTCCCATCACTCGGGCAAAAGCCACTAGAATTCTCTACCTCTGCAAAGACACAGTTCCAGCACAAGCTTAGAGAAGCAGGGAGTGGAGATCATCTAGGGCACGCACGGCCAGCCCGCGAGCAGTCACACTGTGCATGTGCTAAGGGCTGAGCACGTCTTAAATAACAAGGCTGTGTGTCCACAGACCCGCTGCAGCTTCGAACCGTCCTCCCTCATCAGACAGCACTAACAACGATGGGGCACAGGAGCAGAACTGTCACCACGGGGAGACCCATAAGAAGGTCCCCCTGCAGCATAACGGAGCCGCCTTCCACAATATTCACAAACACAGACTCACAGAAAGGAAAAAGAGCAAGAACATCACAGCCAAATCACGCGCAAGGGAAAAGTGCCCCGAACCCAAGACGTGAGTAACATCACTGCAGTCTGAACGCCAGGAGCGGGGAGGAAAGATGCTGTTTCCCGCGAGCCCCTGGGGAGGGGTCTGCGTGCTCACTCCCG